TTGAGGTCCCGGGGGCCTCGGGTTAAATTCGGGTGGCTAACAAATCAAAGTTTGATGTTGAATGATAGCTGAAGTGTTGTTCCTGCTGGTGTAATCGCACCTGCGAGTGGGGAACCGCAAGTGCGAACTCGCATAGGCAGAGAGGGCAGCGCTGGTGCGGAGCTTGAGGCGAGGCAGCAGATGGTCGCATGCGTGATGCTTTTCCCGCACCTGCGTGACCGTAGATGCGGCAGGAGGACCCCAGAAACGGAAGTGGACTGTGGGCTGAGCTTCGTAGAAGCGAAATTTTCCTCGCATAAGCGAGCCCGCAGGAGTGGGATTTTGGTCCGTAGGAGCGGAATTCCTCGCAGAAGCGGATGACCTGTTCGCACCCGCGAGCCGCAGATGCGGGTACATGGCCGCAGGTGCGGAAGACCTGGGCAGACTCCTTAAATACGAGACTTCGCGATTTTTGTCTCATTTTAACTTTTTGGACTCGGACTTAGGCGATTTTGGAGAAGATTTTCGAGGGGATTATTGAGGTAAGCTTCTTGCACTCGTTTTGGATCATAAATCTTGTTTCCCAATGATTTTCCCACCTAATTAGCGAGACTTTTATGTGAAATTTCGGGATTTAGGGCTTGAGAATTGGAGAGTAGATTTGGGGGATTTGGATGACCAAATGGTGTCGGATTTTGATAAATTTGGTGTGGTTAGACTCGTGAATGAATGAGCTTTTGGGTTTTTTGACTTTTGTCGGATTTTGAGGCGTGAGACCGGGGCCCGGGTTGAGCCTATTTCGGATTTTGGCTTACAATTTCATATTTTTCTTGTGGAATTGATTCTTTTAGCGTGTATTAATTATATCGTATTGCTTGTGGCTAGATTCGGGGCGTTTGGAGATTTGTTTGAGGGGCAAAGGCATTGCAGAGTAGGATTTTGCGCGATTTGAGGTAAGTAACAGTTTTAAATCTAGTCTTGAGGGTATGAAACCCCAGATTATTGGATTATGTGAGTATTTTGGAGGTGACGCACATGCTAGGTGACAGGCGTGTGAGCGTGCACTGTAGGAATTGGGACTTGGTCCATTCCGTGGAATTGTAAAGTTGAATAACTTGTTGCTAGCTATATGCTCTCCCTGTGTTATAGAAATTTGACTGCAAATCATGTTAGAAATCATGCTTACGCTACGTGATGGTACTGTTGGGACCCACAAAGGTCGCGTACCTGTTGAACTATCTGCTTAATTGTTGTTTTGTACTCAGTCATAGTTTACTTGTTTGTTTTATCTCAGTCTCTATTGTTTATTATTGATGCATCATATTATTCTTGTTTGGGCTGATTTTTATGATTTCTGGGAGTCCGAGGGACTAGAGGGGTTCACGATTGAGTGAGGCCGAGGGCCTGTTTGTGAGGTATATGATACCGTAGCACGTGAATTGTCCGTGCAATACGTGAGTTGTTCATGCGGATTCTGATATGATACTATAGCACGTGAGTTGTCCGTGCAACATGTGAGTTGTCCGTGCGGATCTTGATATGATACTATAGCACGTGAGTCGTTCGTACAACACGTGAGTTGTCCATGCAGATTATAGTGCTTGGGCTGAAAGGAACC